GTGGGGTGTGGGTGTGGGTGTGGGTGTGGGTGTGGGTGTGGGTGTGGGTGTGGGTGTGGGTGTGGGTGTGGGTGTGAGTGTGGGTGTGGGTGTGGGTGTGAATAGAGGAAGTACATCACACCCACACCCACACCCTTTGAAATATATAGTGAAGAATCTTAAAGAAAACTGTAAAAACTTTCTGCAAGATAGGACTAATCAATTAATATGTTACAGAATAACTTGAAAAAAGAACGCTTCATAAAAGGAGACTCAGCAGAACAATTGTTAAGATTATGTCTTGTGGGACAAAACTAAAATCATAATAAGGAAGTATGATGAATATTATTCGATTAGTACGAGAAGTCTTATACAATAATCAGGGGTGCAAAAGACATGGAGGTTTTGTGGAAAAAAAGAAACTTTAAAAATTTTCCTAAAGTAATGTAAGATGGAACTGTTCACCGAAGACTAGCAATACAACCATAGCAGTAGGCCGTGTTTATGAGATTTGAAATATTTTTTCTTCAGATGATAACTCTAATCTTTCTTTACAAAACCACATGTTTCGACCAAATAACTATATGTAGTCATATATGTCATCGGTTGATTGAAAGAAATCGAAACTTTTGAGTTATCCACTATTATATCATATTTTTATAGTAAATTCAAAAGCTTTTGCAAAAGGAACATGTTGTGAGAAAGTTTTCAAGACACGAAGACTATATCTTGCCCTGTTCTGAAAAATAGCAGGACAAGGGACTCGTTTAAAATTTCGCGATTTTCTGCGAAAATCTCTAGCGGCTACTTAGTATTTCACATTTTAATAGCATGGAGACTGTTCTAACAACGTTTTTTTATCTAATAAACGCTGCGCTAGAATTTATCACAAATTCAATAGTATGATAATCAAACGATAATTTATTGTTATTTTTTATCGACATTTTGATTATTTATGATCTATTTTCTAGGCTACGTACCTCCACACAGAAATCAAGTTTCCAACAATTTGAAACATTTATATAATTTTCATTTAACAGCTCTAAAAGAGCAATTACAAAATATTGATTACATTGGTTTAACATTTGACTTTTGGACAAGCCGTCGTTCTGCTTCATTTTTATGCATTACATGTCATTGGTTCGATGATAAATTTGGATATTTTTCTAAAGTTATTCATTTTTCGTCTTTCAATGAAAGACACACAGGATTTAATATTTCACGTTCAGTTAAAGAAAAATTGAAAAGTTTAGGTATTTATCATCAAGTAGTCGCTATAACATGTGATGGTGGTGAAAATTTGGTGTCAGCCTGCAATCAACTTGACGGTTCAATTAAAAGAATTTGGTACTGTACGCATCGTTTACACCTTGTAGTAATTAATAGTTTAGGTTTTTGGAATAAAGAAAACAAACTTGATAATAATCCAACAAATCATTTAACAACAGAAATTATAGCAACAACTACTTCATATTCTGATGTTATTTCGAATAACCAACAAGAATTAATGGATACAAGTTGGTCCAATGAAAATGAAACAGGTATATATTTTATTTCATTGGTACTTTCGTTTAACATTAAATTTGACGGCTTGCTAATAGTTTCATGAAAATTTCTTTTCACATTTTTTTCTCTTTAAAACAATGGGCTCATTATGCGTTCGTTATCTCCCTTGCTGTGCTTTTTTTTTCGTTTCTTTATTTGTTTGTTAAAAGTACTACAAAAACATGACATTCATGAATGAAGACTTCGATTTTCCTAGTAGACAAAAGAAAAATAAATTGAATCTAAATAAATGTTAGTTTCGAAGAAAATACAAAAACACAGACCTTGTTTCAGAATGTTAATAATTCGCAGTTATCGTTGAGACAAAAAAGTCAGATATTCTGGACTACCATGGAAAATATATATATTAAATGACCAACATTTTATTATAAAATATTATCGCTGAAAATTTCATTCTTTAAAGGACTCTTGGACTAAATTTAGGAGAAGTAATGATGTACGGAACTTTTGATTGAACTTTCGTTGAAACCAGCTTCTTATGAAATGTTAGTCATTTAATATATATTTTCTATGGTAGTCCAGAATGTCTGACTTTTTTTTCTCAACGATAACTCCGAATTATCAACATTCTGAAACAAGGTCTGTGTTTTTGTATTTTCCTCGAAACTAATATTTATTTAGATTCAATTTATTTTTCTCTTGTCTACTAGAAAAATCGAAGTTTTCATTCATGAATGTCATGTTTTTGTAGTGATTTTAAACAAATAAAGAAACGAAAAAGAAGGCATAGTATTATAAGGCATTGACTTTTCTTTCTTTTGAATATTTATAGGTGAAATGTTAATTGATGAAACAATTGGTGATGCTGGTGGACATTATACAGGTATAATTAATAATTTTAATACAAATGAAAGATCTGAAGCTGAAAGTGCTACAATTGTAAATGATGAATCAAGTGATGATGAACAAAATTTAGATTTGATTGATGACAATTGGTCAGGTAACATCGACACCAATGTTCCTACGACAAATGAAGTTGAATTAATAATGGATTTATTGAAAAAATGTCGAGTTATAGCAACTCTTTCAAAAAAGTCGTCAATTGTTTCAAATTTTATTCGTACCAATCAATTACTATTTAAACTTAATAGGACATTAAACAAGGACTGCAAGTCCAGATGGAATTCAACATTTATCTTACTTGATGCTTTAATTGATCTTAAACCAGTAATGATGAAACTGTTTAATGAAAAACGAACATTAAATTTACGTCGAGTTCAACTTGATAAATTGACTATGATTGAATTAAATAATGAAGACTGGGATTTTTTATCTTCATTACATTCTGTATTAAAACCCTTTTATTGGGGAACTGTAATGATGTCCGGAAAGAATTATCCATCAATTGGACTTGCTTATCATGCTGTACATAAAATAAAACACTTTTGTACCAATGGAAACTCATCAAATAATCACATTAAAGAATTAAAAAAATTATTATTGACCAAATTATATACATATTTTTTTGATGATATTGAACAGTTTCAATACTTTCAGGTAACACATAAACTACAAACATCATCAGATAAGTTGCAAAAATATATATGTATGAATGTGTGCAATACTATGCTCTTTTTTCTAAATTCATTTAAGCAAATAGAATCTTTAAAACATAGCATTTAAAAGTTCCGATGTATGTGACCAGGAAAAAGAATCACAAATTTTTATCTATTGTGCACGAAAGTAGTACGAGATAGAAGCAAAAGTTTTCACTATGAGTTAGTAACCATTAGTGTTTTGAAAATATCGATGAGTTCACTCATATAGTTTACATCTAATTGTTGTTAATAAAACCTATCGTCCGGAGGGAAAATTTATAACTATCAATGAAAAAAGTACTTTGCACTTCATAAGTGCATCAGATCTACGAAGGTCATATCTTTCTTATGAAGATAGTTTAAAACAGCCATTCTCGTCGCTACACATTGGAATTTAGTTACAGAAAACTGGAATGATTTCACAGCGAAAATATAAAATTTTTTCTGTAATTATAATAAAGTCTACATGTAGGACCTCGTATTGTGAGATGAAAGATCAATCGTCCCATCTGATAATGCGAGGTTCTATATAGCTATTCTGTTATTCAAAACGACTTAATTCGTTGTTTCCGATTTCTAATTAAAAAGATTATCAGTTATACTTAAATCTATTTTGCTGCAGGGTCAGATACAGAATTAAAAATTGATCATTCACTCGTGATTTCAGATGCAAAACTGACTTTAATATTTTGATTTTCTATTTGACGAACCAAAACATATTTTACAGTTGTTGATTTTCATTGATATTAGTTTTTTATTTTGATTTTTAGCGTCATGCATTTTTTGATCCAGCAGCACATTTAAGCCTCAGTGACGTTGAAAAAAATCAATGTGAAAAATATGTAAAAAATTTGATATATGATGATGTTTATCCAAAGAAACATTCTACATGATCATTGATTTGCACTATTTATCTAGGTGAAATGTTTTTATACATGTTATCTATCTAGTTCTCCACGCAATTTTATTCTTCGAAAATCCACGAGTTACATGATTAACTTTTACTAAGATTAGTATGTGATCAACAAAGAACGTCAACGAATGGACTCTCGAAATCATATACCTCATTTATCAGTGAAGATGTGTGGTGTTGAAAAATCTACGATTCTTTAATGTGTAACCCAGAGCAGTATAGATGAATCAATCGAAATCTGTCACCGATTGCTCCAAATCGTATACTTACTTTCTCGTTATACTTTCTTACAATTGATTTTTGCAATTGAAAAAATTGAGTATATCATTTTTAGAAACTGATGGAACTTAGACTTCTTTGACCTTAGCTACCTTAGATCAGATTTTATCAGATAGTGTTCTTCTCTCCTAAAGCCTTTTCTTTAGGGAAAAAAATAGCTCAAAAAACTCATCCTTGTCCAGATGGCATAACCTATAACTTAAACCAATTTATTACCAGTTATTTGTTGTTAGGAAGGCAATAGTGGTGACCATTTACTGGTATGAAGACAGCTACGAATGTAACGGCCATGATAACCGTGGCCATATCTACGGTAATTGGCTGAAGCAAGTGAATAAGAAAAAAAAAAGATTTGATTGAAGTAAAAAATGATTATTTATAATGACTGAAGAAACCAAATTGGAATAGAGGAACCCAAATCTGAATTCAGATTCTTAAATTTTTCAATTTACTTTTCCCAATACTAAATCCTTTAGTGAAAGTCGTCTTTTTTTAGAGAATTTTATTCTTAAAAAGCGTTATATGTTAAGAACTAAAACTAAAAATTTTCAAAAGTGGACTTCAGATTCGAATTCTTTACCCTCGATTTATTTTCGTCAACCTTTGTAAGAACATAGTTATTTTCTTTAAAAAGTCTTGTTTTTTTATGACAAGCGGTTTAAACTGATAACTGTACCTACGATTATCGTAGTAAGACAGGCAAGCATAGGTATGGTTGTCGTAGTTGGACCGGTAACCATAGGTATGGTTGTCGTAGTTGGACCGGTAACCATAGGTAAGGTCTATTATAATAGTTGGACCAATAACTGTAGGTACGGTTACCGTAGTTAGACCGGTGAAACGGTGACGGTATACCGATGAATGATCGTCACCGTTGCATCCCTAAATACTACCGAATCTGTTCTTATAGAATGATTATTTATAGTTCAATATATTCAAATAAAAATTCCATATCTATATTTTATTTGAACTGCTCTATATTCATAGACAGAAAACTAAATTAAATCAACGAACTTTGCCTTGAAAAATTCCGAAAAATCGATTTGTCTGACGTTCAGATGTACACAAGACAGTTATTTGATTTGATTTTACTTTCTTTTCTCTTTAAACTTTCACATATTCAAATAAATACTGAATGTCTTTATTCTATTTGAGCCGCTGTATTCTGATAAATCCAAAAACGAAATCAGAGAAATGAAATTCCGATGGAGAATATCAGAAAACATTGAGAATTCATTATTAACATGTACTTCGATAAATAAGTTTATAAAAATTCTTTCAATTGTGTCTACAAACTTCTACATCTAGAGATAAAAAATTGAATATATTTATGTAATTTGAGTTGTTCTACCATGAAAATTATAAAACAATATCCAACAAAGAACATTTAGGGTGTGGGTGTGGGGGTGTGAGGTGTGGGTGTGGGTGTGGGTGCGGGTGTGGATGTGGGTGGGTGTGTGGGTGTGGGTGTGTGGTGTGGGTATGGGTGTGGGTGTGGGTGTGTGGTGTGGGTGTGGGTGTGTGGTGTGGGTGTGTGGTGTGGGTATGGGTGTGGGTGTGGGTGTGGATGGGTGTGGGTGTGGGTGTGACTGTGCCTGTCTCTCTGCTGGTGGGTGTGCTTGTTCCCTACATTCATATTCACACCCACACCCACACCCAAAATATAAAATGGAATTATTAAGCGTGTCAAATTTTAGAAGATGCTGTGAACAGATTAAGCTTAAAAGATTATCACTACACTCTAAAAAAAATAGGTATCTTCGAAAACCCTTAGAGGGTTTCCGAGTTTGTTACTATAGGAAACTCTTTAGGGGTTTCCGAAGAAGGGTTTCCGAGATCTCGGAAACCCAAAATATACATTATACAAAAACCTCGGATACTCATTCGAAAACCCAAAGAAAAAGGTTTCCGAATTCAGGAAAAACTCTACCTAACTGGGTTAGATTGAATGCCACTACTACTCTACTAGCAGCATCAAGCATGCAAAGCAATCCAAGATATTCCATGAGGCACTTCTGTAGATCTATCTGCATCTAGAAATAGCTACGGCCACCATCCAAAATGGGAAATATTCGAAATCTACAGAGAAACGTTGATTATCTTACTGCCCATCCTTCCGCCATTACCAAACCAATGAAGGCTGAACCATACCAACTTGCAGACCTAAAACACGAGAAAGAAAAGAAAATTTTTCTGTGAAACATT